CGATCTTATGTTGCACAAGGTCTGTTTTACCTGATATATCTGTGAAGACACTTGCATACTGGCACAGTAGATCTTGTAGCTCTTTCTTCTACTTGCTAGTCAGTTCTTCACTGATGTTGATGTCTTTCTGTGTCTCATCTCCACTCCATGGTCTTAGGTCTAGTAGGTCTTTATCTTTCATAACAAAGTCATTGTCTTCTGGTTCTGTGTCTGTGACAGCTACACCTGCAACATTCATCTGTCCCTCAATCACTGTATCCGTTAGGTCTTCTTCCCTCTCAAAGTACTGCTTCAACAGATCGGCATAATAGATCTTGGTCTTCCCATCCACTTTCACCTTGTAGTCCATGCTATTAACCACTTCCTACACTTCAAAAAAGTCCTTTCCACTGTAGGGTGAGTTTGTTGTTGTCTGTGGGTAGCAGAACTAAGACCTTCTGTGTGAGCATACAAAATCTCTTGAGCTATTCGATAGATTTTCTCCAGTCAGTTTCTGAGGTTCAACATGTACTGGTATGTGTTTCTCACTTCTGTATTTTCTTCTCCAATACACACTTCTTTGAATATCTGCATTGGCCTTGTACTGTTCTTCTCTATGGTAACTCAAAGGTTGAAAATCATGTTCTTGCTTGTGGGACATTGCTGGTCACATTGCTGATGACCCCGTTCAATGAAAGTTCCTGGTGATTCTGTCTGCCATCTTTTTTTTCTTGGGTGGCTTCCCACATTTGACTCATGAGCGAACTTCGTCACGGGATTCTGGTATTCTGTTGGTGCTATGATATTTATTAACTTCTCTAGTAGAACTGCCTTGATATATCCAGTACAACACTCTCTCCTGGTCCTCTACTCTGTAGGTCTATTTCTGCTTGGTACTGTGCTTGAATTTCTCCCAGGCACTGTCCCAAAGTTTTTACAGTAAAGGGTCCTTCTTTCATACTTCCTTTAGTTCCTGTATACCTTCATTCGGGATGTCACTCTTCGAAACTTCCAGAGGCTTAAAGTCACGTGTGCTTTTCTTCTCTTGAGCTATAGTGGTGACTGCAGATGCCTCATCTATTTTCTTTCTGTCTAGTTCCTCAAAGCTTCTATTGCCCGGTATATTGCCAATAACCAAGTTGTAGATGGGAAACTTTATCACTGGCCCATTAATCAGCACAAACAGATGTATCTTTGCCATCATCTGGTCATCAGATATTAGATTGGTTCTTGCTGCTGCATCTAGTATCTTGTAGGACTTTCACTTTCTTGTCCCCTTCACTCCCTACCAGCACCATTTTTGTGGGTAACTCCAGTTGATTTATGTTGAGATTTCTGCTGCTGCTTATTGGTGATGGACATCAACTCAATTGCAATGTGCCCCTTTTTATGACAAGTATAGCATCTCCACTCCCTTTTGTCTGTTGACTTTGTGTCACCTTTGGTGGCATCCTGCTTCTTGTCAGCCACCTCTGGTTTTGACTTTGACTGTTTATTTTAGACTTGCCAATTATACTCCCTCCGTTGGCTTCCATGTACTGTTCTAACAGCCCGGTCATCTCATCCACATCATTCGGTGCTATCTCCTTTAGGATATGTCAGTGGTGCACATGATCATTAACTGTTCATGTATTACTAGGCCTGACAGTCCTTCAAAACTATCTTTGCACTTGGCCATATCAGTCTATCTTCTGTCACAAACTGAAATACAGTTTCTCCAGTGTCGTGTTTGATTTCTCTGAATTTCTAGCAAAAGCCTTTCCCAGTAAGTTCATATTGCTTCAGCATTTAACTTGTCATAGTCCATGGCATCTCCTGACATCATGCTCGCAATACAATTGTAGGCCTTTTCCTGTGAGAATGGGCTGAAAAAGACTGCCCAGTTGCATTTGTCCCAGTTCTGACTTTGGGCAAATCTTTCACATCTCTGCAGGAAAACCTCCATGTCATCTTTTATTTCATCAAATTTGGGTAGCTTGGGTTGGCTAGCCCTGACCCCATTGTTATTCTTGAGTCCTCCATCTTTCTGTTGAGTGAGCCTGGTGATCTCAGTTTGTGCTCATATTCTCTCTATTTCCAGTCTCTTTTTTCTCTCCTTTTCTTTCTAAATGTTGGCAGCTCTCTTGCTTGAGTTGAAGGTAACAACAAGATCAAAGTCCTGGACCATCGTGGCAATAACAAAAGTCCAACTTTGAGGAGAGGATTTCTCCTATATCCAATAACTCTTTCAGATGACTGTCTCTCTCCAGTAACTAACTCTCCCTCTAGGTCATACATCCTTCTAGTTGCTTAAAAATGCCATTTATAAATTAGAAATCTTTTAAAACTTAATAACCTAAGAGTTCAAATAAAAGGCAATATACACTACTGCAGCTAGTAGCAAACTACCTAATAATCCTGATCATGGCACCAAAATTTTTCTATACTAGTATACCCTGTAGTGTACTCAGGTGAACTGAATATAGGATTAAACTTTACCCAATAGGTCTGAAAAACAGGAGATTCGATCAAGATAGGGAATTACAGAATAATATTGAAAATTATTAAGTGGACAAAAAACAACAAACACAATAAGGTATCTTTACTAAAGACACTCAACAAAAACCAGTGTGTGCCCATTTACCTGCATGGACACTCGCTGGACTTAGATGAAGCTTTCATCACCATCCTGTCAAACCTTTAAGTTTAGCTTATACTCTACTGTCATTAGGTTTGAAGAAACCTTGTATTTATGCAGTTCAACTGTAGCAAACACGTGATAAGTTATGTTCATTATGCAAACATGAAGCTGTAGCCTATTGGCATATGTACTTGAATTTCCAAGAATTTTGGAGGAGGGCAAGAAATGGGGGTTTCTTAAGCTTTCGTTATTCATATCATAAATTACCAAAACATTTCTAAATAAAAATGGGTCAGTGCACTTATAATTCACACTATACCATATTATACTTATTATAAATAGGAAATTAACATATCCAAATGAAAAAGGTCAGTACAATTATAACCTGCACCACCAAATATCTTGACAAATATCTTAACACTATTAAAAATAATCTCACTTTGAATAGAAGAACACTTAAACATAAAATGTAAAACATTTATATTATATCATGCCAATCCTGTCATCAAGGTAATGTAGGTGAAACCAGAAGTGTTGACATTGGAGTTTCTGAATACAAAAAATACAGTAAATATGGAAACACCAACAATGGCATTTTTCTTCATATGAGAGATTTAGCCAACAAATCAATTGGGAATCAACAAGAATTTTATACAAAAATGGATAACTACATCAAAAGAAAAATATTCAAAAATTCCTTAATCAAAAGCCTACCTAATTTCACTTGGTCACTTTATGCTAAACAGTTTCTTGACATCCTGTGTCCTGATGAAGAATTTGAAGTTCTGGGATCACTTAAGCTTTGTTGACCAATTTGACTCAGCAACTATGTCTCTAGGTATAATCTGAACAGCCACTGAAGGATATTATAATCCTTATTCTATTTACTATATTTTATTATATTTTTCTTTTGGTTTTATTTTCAGTTCTTTTTCATGTAATCATTTGTAGTTGATATATACCTTTAGTTGTGCAGTAATATGGTTAGTTTAATTTGTGGTGTATTTTGTTTGTGATATGCTGGAGTCTCCTTTTTTTAGTATTAACAAAGATGTACATGTTAAATACTGTGCAGCATGTGACTGTTGTGATGTCATCAGTGGCATTTGATTCTGAGGGCAGGATTATGTGAACTTGTATTTGAAGTAGTTAGAACTTCAAAATTACTTATAAAATGTATAATTAGTTTTTAGACCATTATGTTCTCTAAGTGAGGGGGAGGATTAATATAGTAAGTAGAAATTACTGGTCTCTCAACCCTTCCAGAACTAGTATATTAATATACCATAGTTAATATGTATTCAGGTAAATGTTTAAAATATTTTGATATGTTTAATTAGCTTCCTTGTGAACAGGATATAATTAGCTTTAATGTGTCTTAATCTGGCCACTAGACTTCTTTAACTCACCAAGTGTGTGTGTGTGTGTGGGTGTCTGCATCTGTTTGCCTTAGGCAGTCATCTATTTTGAAGCTAACAGTTATACTGTTGTGTAGCTTAATCAAAGGGGATTGTCTTGAAATAAGGAACAAGCAAGAATACTTTTCTTCCTTTAATTTAACTTTAAAATTGACCTGAAACATGTAGAGTTAAAAATTGTGAATGTTCAAGTTGTTATCTTAATGTAGTTTAACCAATCAGACTTGCTTTTTTTGTCTTGTGAAAAATTAGAGGCTGACTAGTCTAAACATTATCTAGAGCTGTGCCCACAATGAAATCTATATCATCAAATATTGTGACGATTTTTGTATTTGATAATGAACAAAGATTGTTCTTATAACAACTGTGTCTGGTTTTATTCTTGTTTCTTCCCTAGCCTCTTTGACTTGTGTATTCTGCAAAACTTACATCATACCTCCTGCTGTTGTGAATTTTTTAACTTAAATGTCAATGATTAGTATTAACTGAGAATACCTCATGTTAATCATTACATTATTAACAGTTATTGAATTTTTACACTTTTTTGTTAATGTTATTTAGTTTTATTATTAAAAAAATAAGTAATTGTGATGGAAATAAGAAATGCTAATAAATTAAAGGATTCCTAATAATTTTTCAAATTTATGGACTATGAAGATTTTCATATAGTTTATTATAAGTGCATAGATGCCTTTCAATTTCTGCCTTAACCAACAGACACATATATTTTTCACTCCCTTTTTCTTTGAATTATTAATTGTATAATAAAACATACTGAGATTTTTTTTATGATGCTTCATTTTGAATAAATTTGTAATTTATATATTTCTGTATTTAAATAATATATGTTATTTATCAATACAGTGATGCATTTCTTTGTAACAATATTTAATGCAAAGGCTAAGTTAACAACCATGTAACAAGTATAATAGTTTATTTTTGATATTACATCACTGATATTTGAAACATTGTCTTTCATCCAGGGTCAACTACAGCAGTTCTTGAATAGAAACTTTCAAGATATAACCTCCACAATTAAAGCTCTTCAGCTTCTTCAAAGGTGTGAAAATTTGACTTTCAAAAGTATTTTTAAATTTGCTCAAATTTAATTCATTATTTGATGCTAGGCTGGAGATTTTGTTTTTGTAGTTATTGGTTAAATTTTAAGTAACTTCCATGTAAAATATGTTAATCTGTTGATGAAAATTAATATGCATTGGTTTTGCATTAATTTTTATAAAATATGCTTTTACAGTTTATTCATTATTATATTTTACTTTTACAAAATATTAACATTCTTCTAAGACTCAGATAACATTATGTAACCTTACATGAAGTTATATTACGCTGTTCATATAATAGATTTGAGAAGTTATGCATTCCTGGTCTGGATATAGAATCCAAGTATATTGCTATCTTAGAACATTATGGAGAAGAACTGAAACATGTTTCTCAGGTAATTATTTTGACAAAAATATGTCCTAGGAGCTATCCTATTATAATGAATTTATGTAGATAATTTATATGTATTGCGATACAATATCTTACCTATGCTTACAAAAGGTATTCTTGACTTATATTGCCCTCTATTGATACACATTTTTGCTCACCACTAGCCTTGATACTCCACTTATCTCTGCAAACTAACACACAAATGCTTATGCAGCAACCCTCCACCAATAGGAGTGCAACACTACTCCTATTATAACTAGTGCCCTCTCTGATCTTGCAGCTGTTAGCCACTTCTCAATTGGCAGTCTTAATGAATAGATGTGTTTTCGCTTGTGGTTTGTCAATTATCCACAACTTTTTACTTTCTTAATTTTTGTACTTTAGTTACATTGTTTTATTTACTGTTTTCGTACTCTTTGGTGGAGAGTTATGAATTATTTTATTTATCTTCTCTCATCTTTCAATTTCGTGAGTTACCATTCACAGTTTCAGGTAGTCATGACTACAACTGCTGTTATTGCTGCAGCTGAATTACTGACCATAGGTCAGAACCACAATTCTCAGCCCATGAAGTGACAGCTCTGGTCCATTGGGAGTTGATCAATTTCATGCTACAATTGGAACACAATGATGATTGTCCTATCACGGTTTTCAGTTATTGGGAAGTTTTGGATCTGGACAGCCTTTTTACCCCTCCTGAATATTCCTCTCAGTCACATGTTGTTTCAGGGGACTTCCTCAGACCTCTTTCCCCTTTGGTGGATTTGAGTATTCAGGTATGTTATGTTCTGTTCTTATCTCCAATTTTCCTATGTTCCACCCCTGCCCTTTTCAGAGAATAGCTATTGGGTCATTATTTAGTGTTTCCTCCTTTCCCGGATATTTGGTTTCATGTGAGTCATTTTGTGGAGCATTTGCATTCAGAGGATAGTTTGCCTCGACCTCTGCTTACTGTGAATGATCATGCTTTTGATTATCATTATTCCAATACCCCTTATTTGGACTCCAAGTGTTTGGTGCTGCTTCTCCTAGTGGGGATCAGACCCCCATAAATCGATTACCTTTTCCCATATTTGTGTTACTCAGACCAACCTTCTCGGGTCAAGGCTGGTGGTGGCCAGACTCCTCCAATTTTCTCATGTTTGGAGGTACTTGGTGGTTGATCCATGGGTTCTGAAAGTCGTTTCAGTAAGTCTGGTTCTTTAACTTCCAGGCCTGGCATGGCCAGGTGGTTAGGGTGCTTGAATCGCAATCTGAGGGTTGTGGGTTTGAATCCCTACCCCACCAAACATGCTCACCTCTTTCAGCCATGGGAGTATTATAATGTGATGGTCAATCCCACTATTCCTTGGTAAAAGAGTAGCCCAAGAATTGGCAGTGGATGGTGATGACTAGCTGCCTTCCATCTAGTCTTTCACTTCTAAATTAGGAATGGCTAGTGCAGCTAGCCCTCATGTAACTTTGCACGAAATTCAAAACAAACCAAACCTCTACATTCATTTATTTCCTCCATTGTCTCACAATCCCACTTCCTTCCTTTCTCCTCTTGGGATCCCGTTTTTTACCCGTCTGATTCATTCTACGGGCCTTTGTGTCCACTGTTATATGGACATCTGGCTGTTTCTTGCCTCCTCACAAGACAACTCAATCCTACATCTTCAGTTTCTTCTCCAGGATGCTGACATGGTGAGAGGGCTTGTCAATATGCAAAGTGTGCTTGTCCTTTCTCACACCCACACAATTTTTTGGTTCATCTCTGGGTGTTTTTCAACTCCCTCTTCCATCAGGCCCTACCTGCTCCACTTCAGTTGCGAGCTATGGAATGTCTCGTATGCAACTTATCTTCCTCTTCTTCTCCTACTGTGTGAGAGGTTCTCTCTCTTTTGAGGACATGAACTTCTCTCGAGATCCTAATTCCTTTTGGTTGCACCCTCATGCATCAGTGGGTTTTGATAGACCAATGGAACCTTGTTTGGGATCCCATAGATGCCCCTCTTACCCTTACCATCCCTAACAGACCGACTTCTACTGGCAGTTGTATTGGAACAATACTACCTTGTGTGTTCCTCTTCTTTTCCTCCTTATCATCCAGAATGTTACCTTTTACAGATGCTTCTCTTTCTGGTTGGGGATATGTCTCAACACTCAGGTGGCTTATGGGGCTATGTTCTCTTTCTGAGTCCACTCTCCATGTCAGTCACTTGGAACTTCTTGCTGTTCATTGGACATTCCTTCACTTTCTGCGTGTTGTTTGGAGTTGGTTGGTGTTGGTCCACTCTGACATTTCTATGGTAGTCTCATGCATCACCAGGCAAGGGGCACTCAGATTGACAGACCTGTTTTCAAACATTAGATCTTCTATGTTGGGCCCACATCACATTGCTTTGTTGGCGTGTCATAATCCAGGTGCTCTGAATCTGGTTGCGGATCGGTTATCCTATCTCGACAAGATTCTCCCTGTGGAGTGGTCTTCAGATCCTCCTTTTTGTCGTGTTTTGTATACTGTGTGGGGTGTCCTAGATTTGGATGCTTTTGCCACTCTTCTCAATACACCACTTCTCCAATTGTAGTCTCCTGTTCCTCATCCTCTGATAGGAGTAGTCAATGCTCTCATTTGGGTTGGTACCTATATGCATATCTTCTTATTCGTCTCCTCCCACATGTCCTTGCCATACTTCGGCCCACTTCATGTAGTGTTCTGCTGATAGCTACGTATTGGCTGGCTCACACATGGTTTCCACTGCTGTGTCAGTTTTTGGTGTTGCATCCTCTTTCTCTTCCTTTATCCCCAACACTCCTCTGTCAGCCACTCTCCGGCACGTGTCATCTGTACATACCTGCGCTCTGTCTTCACATGTGGCTTTGTCCGATCGTTCACCTGAAGGGCCAGATTTTTGCATACAGCATCCTTCATTTCTCATCCTGTTCATCCTTCCTCAATGGCAGTTTACCAATGTACATGGTATACATAACACTTTTGGTCTGTCCTAAAGGGTTATCACCCTTCCATCCTATGGTTATGCACATAGAAACATTTTGGCCTTGGCTTTTTGAATGTTATCCTCCTCCTACCATGGACTGGATGATAAATTTCCAATGCTGCCATGTTTTGAACTGGCAATGTATACCCACCTGTGCCCTCCAACTTCCTATCGTCCACCAGATGTCAGTTCCTGGTGGATTTAGTGTTAGAGGTGTGCACCTGCAATGGTGTGTTTTTGGTATGGAAGTTCCTCTTCCCTGCTGGTTCCCTATCTTGAGGTGAAAGGTAGAGGATCCTCTTCCTACTGCAGAACTGATGTGCAATTCCAGATGCCACAAGTGTTGGTTGAGGTCGAACTTCCCTTTACATTTTGTCCCACCACAGCCACTCTACACTGGTGAGGGGGAGGGTCCATTATTTTGTTAACTTTTCTTGGGTTCCTTCTGCTTCCTGCCTTATAGTGACACAATACTAATAAGCAAATAGTATACCTGGCTTAGAAGTGGTGCAGTCTCCCATAGGTGTGGTATTTTTAGTTTTGTCTCACACCCCATGGTTTTCCTTTAGTTACTTCCTCTAGAGGTATCATCTTTTCACCGGCCCTCCACCTGTTCAATGTGGGATTCTAGCTTTTTGTGAGAGGAGGTAGGATATCATATCGGAAGTTAACATTTTCTTAAACTGAAAATGTATTTCTGATAGATACTTACCTCTTCTCACATTTCACACCCATCTTCCCCACTTCTGGTGTAGTTTGGTGTGATTTGACCAATCTAGATGAGGCTAGCAGCTTCAAGATTAGAGAGGGTGCTAGATACAATAGGGGTAGTGTTGCACTCCTATTAGTGGAAAGTTGCTGCATAATCATTTGCATGTTAGTATTCAGAGATAAGTGGGAGTATCAAGGCTAGTGGCAAGGAAACATTTGAGCCAATAGAGGTCAGTATAAATCAAGAAACTTTGGTGAGAAGAGGTAAGTATCTATTGCAAATACATTTTCAGTTTAAAAAGATGTTACTTCTGAAAAAGTTCAATGTCCTTCAGAAAAGTTCAACTTACTTCATAAAGTTTTTAATTATTCTTATAATTTTAAACATATGTGAATGTACTTATATAAAAAAAATCATAAGAAGGTAATAAAAAAGTATAAACTCATTATTTCAGCTTTATAATCAACAGAAAGATAATCCACCTTATCCTAGGAACATGTCTCCATTTGCTGGAAGGATTGCCTGGGTAAAGCATCTATTTAAAAAGATTAATGAACCCATGGAATGTCTTAAGGTATGGGGATGTTCAGAAGTGTTTAAGATTTAAGATACATTCTTGATATTTGGAAATATTATCACAATTATGAAAAACTGTTTGTTGTTAAGGACAAAGCAACCTGTGGGGGCTGTGCTGTGCTCACCACAGATATCAGAATCTGGTTTTAGTGTTATAAACCTTTAAACTATGAAAACTAATTAATTCTTTGATTTAAGATAATTTATTAAATCTGTATTCATTTTGTAAAATGGTTACTTGTATTCTTTTCACCTTATTATTTAACATGCTGTGCTGGTACTACACATCATATTTTCAGAAGTTTTCACTGTAAACTTGAAGATATGGTGTTACATTGTTATTGAATTTTTCAGGTATACCTTCCTACCTTAAATTCAAAGGATGTCTTGGGAATTGTGCTTACATATAATCAAGTAGCACAGGTTCTTGTTCATTTTGAGCTTCTGTATCACATGGCATGGAGAAAACAAGTGGAGACTATTGCTTCAAGTAAGTGTCAATATATCATATCATACTATTATTTCTATTGTAGATATAGATGGCTTTATAATTACAATCTCAATTACCAGATAATGTAGTCTCATATATAACTAATGTTTGTAAATATAATTTAAAATTGTACAAACTTTTGTCGCAGTTGTGAAATTTTGTTTGTGCTATATACAGACTTTTCTATTCAGTATTGTGCTGTGTGGCTGCTATAAAGTGCATGTTTATTTACCACTATTTCAGAGGCTGTATAGCAAAAATATAATAAGTTATACTTCATGGATAAGCAGTAAACAATGCATATTTTTTAAAATATGTGCTACAGGTATTAATATTTTCCACACAATTATTTAAACTTATGATTTTGAGTTTTAGACTAAATGTACTTTATAAATTCTGTGCTGAAGACTATCATTATACTTTGCATTATTTTTAACTTATTTATTTCAACCTATAGGTTCGAAGCATGAACACAAAAGATGATGTTATCATTAACTTCTTATCAAAGCAAACTACCTACATAAATCAGGATAAAAAAATTAACCCAGTAATTAATATAGCTGTTGTTTCCCAGTGGGTCAGCTGTAAGTTTACGGTCATGGTCAACTAACCCTGTATGCAATGGTGATTAAGGTACACATGTCATGGCCATTTACAGAGTTGCATTCAAAATTTAATGAAACTACTGTATTATAAATGTATAACAATAAATTTGGCATCAAAATGTAGTTGATAAATTCTAATATTGTATAAGATTTAATCTTTTAATTCAAAAGGAAATATTAATATGAAACTGCTGAATATGCTCTCTTGTATGTCACAGGACATGTTTGCATTATAATTTGTTCATTTTACGTTTTATTACTTTAACCATACAACATCAACAATGCTTAACCAATTAAGAATTCAAGACTTCATACAATGGAAAATTATAATGGAAAATAACAACCTTCTTGATTTGCTGATATATCGATATATTTAACAAACTTATCAAAGAATCCCCTCCCATCTGTTCCTTCTTTTTAAACCACTTATTTATTCATGCCTACTTGTTTTAATTATATGTTGATAACTAGTACAAAGAGCAGGTTCTGAACTATGTAAATCTGATGGTTGTTTTTCAATTTTATTTTGAGGAAAGCCAAAATTTCCTATGAAATGTTGAAATGTGTTTACTAAAATTGTTGCTCTGAATATAAATTAATTTTTTAGCCTATTTATACATTAGGTAGTAAGCTAAGTAAATTATAGTAGTTTTATGATGTCCTATTCTAGTGCATGATATTTTTTTGTTTTTCAAAATGCATATTTAAAATTTAGAAAAATTAATTTGTTTGCCTCAGTTTGATAGAATCAAGAAGGCTTAGCATGAGGGTTTAACGACCACATCTCTCATTTCCTGAATGCAAGTGGATTTTGTAACATCATAAGTACTAGAAATCATGGTTTTTCTGTATATTTTTTATTTATTGTTATATATTTCAACAAAAATAACTAAAATTTAAGCATTTATGAGCAAGTAGTAACAATGTATATACATATGTAGTATATGGTTATCAAAATGTCATTGTGGTTGACAAAATGCTGGTATGTTGGGATTTGGCAACATATTAAGTAATGGTATTGCTACAACATATACATTTATTGAGACTATCACAACTAAACTGAGTGCATGTGCATAGTATCACGTGTGGACTTTCGTATCCAAGGTGGAAGAGAACTTTGCCTGAAAGCCACTGTACTGCCCATGGCAAGCTGCTGCTCCATCTGCTGTTGGAAGCACACTTGTTTATATCAATGTTTCAATTTTCAAATACGCTTTTTACTAGATCAAACAGTCCGTGTCCACTACCACTGTGGCCATGGGTGGAAACGAGCTTCGTAGCCTTTCAATTACTTTCCCACTAATCACATACCGGATTATCACAGGACACTGATCAGTTGTGCTGATGTCTTGTGTGGAATCAATCTGTACTGAGAACATGCCATCATTTGTAGTTTTATCTGCTTTTAATATTCTTGAATGTTGTTTGCTGATGAAATTAACTGAAACACCTCTTCCAGTAGCTCTAGACATTTTTTAGCAGTTATTTTGTTCAAGTACTTTGAGAGTGGCATGTCATACTGACTCAGTTTTATCATTTCCAAGAAAACACCATGATTTACTTAATCTTTTTCCATCTCATGTGCAGCTTCATTTCTCTGACCTCTAAATAGAAATTTAAACTTTCCAATAATACTGATAACAGCAATAATTCTAACATCCAATTGATATTTATGTAAGCAAAACTAAACTTTAGTATAGTCTTTTACTCACAAATCTAATTTTTTGAATTGTTTATTATTATTATTCAGCTGTGTAATTTTAACAGCAAATGCTGATTCAGTATTTCTAGTGACCTTTGCAGACTCTTGTAACTTTCTCATTTTAGAAGATTTGTGCTTTTCTCCTCTTTTTTGACATTATTTACTATTTTAAGGTATGAAGTCTACAGACTGTTGTCAGTTTCAAAAAATAAGCCTAGGACTTGCTCAACCTATGAAGTCATTTCATGATTTTTTTTTATATTTGTATATAAAACATAAAGCTATGATGTAATAGTCAGGAGAAAGATATGGTGCTATAACTTGTATGTACACCTATGCAGCACCAAGTCATGTTTAGTCATGCATGGACAAGTATCTAGGTCCATGCATAGAAAGTTACTGGGAATTCCCGTGTATTGCATAAGCAAAATTTTAAAAATAGACCAGTGGTTTACAGAATGCAATGCCTTTAGTCATTTAAAACACTTCCCTCAAGAGGCTGTGAATGTGTTTTATATTTACCTGTGGCAAGGAGGGGGGTATAAATATTGGATGTATATTACAGCTCTAAATGTATTCAGTGTTTATTATAGTTTTCTACATTAGTTTGGCCATTCGAGATAAATAATGGACTCTGGTTTTAATTTATGAACACAGGCTTAATTTTATTAAGTGGTAAAACTATAAATTTGAGGGGCACCTCTGCTCGAGTTCTAGGGGGTACACTGGGATTTTGCTAGTTGCCCAGCAGGCCAGTCTGTCACTGATCTCACAAGGTTATGAAGGTATGTCAATAAATTTAGCATCAAAACGTTTTTAATTTCTTAATTTGAAAAGGAAATATTTAATATCTTCACCTCTGTCTATCATATGAATCATCTATACACCCAATTCTCCATTTTATATTTTTTTATTCTACCCTATAATCTTCCAAGTTTGGCACAAATTACTTATACTATAAATATTGTAAGCCATAATGTAAATTTCCCTCCAAGGTTATTACTTTACTGAGATATAAGTAAGAAATTTGCATATTGCTGTTTGCCAAAAACAGCATAATGCTCACACTGTGATTTGTTGTAATATTGTCCAGAGGATTACTGCTCCATGTGGCAAAATATAAACAAAACAGAAAACGTTTTGTAAAAGAATAAAAGTTTAAACTGTGAATATAAGTAATTTATAACTTCATAGTCAATACTGAATAGGAAAGAACTGTGTTACTCTATTTATTTCATGTTTTTTTCAACCATCCTTTTCATTATACTTAATGATGTTTCTAAAGACCATAGAATAACGTTTGCTGTTGATATAGGGATATCTACAGTTAAAATATACAATTTTACCCAAAAAAAGCTTCCGAAATCCATTTAGGAGGTTTCAGAGATTATGCAGATGAAATATTAAAACTTTAAATGAAAATAAGTATCTTTATTCCTATCATGAAATTCATTTGTGTGCAGCATATTTTAAATGTTTACTGAAAGGGTGCCAAATTTTGTTAAAATGCACAAAGTAAATGATGAATTATAGTAACTGTTAACTCTCCAGTACTAGCTAGGTCCAATGGACATTTGAGATAAATTACTGAGACACATATTACTTTTTAACTATATAATCTTCCCTAAAAATTTCTAGTGACCAATAAAAGCTCATTAAACAGTTCTGACAATGTTACTTTAGAGTAGCTTAACATGAAATGAATTGCTGGAACATATTATTCTTTAACTACAGAGTCAGACAGGAGGATGGTACAAATAGTTCAGCAAAAACTAATTTTTATCAAGATATGTAATAAAGTACAGTTAAGCACTAGGTGACAATCCCAGTGGTTGCTCCAATAGCCTCTAACTCTTGTGAAGACCAGCTGCCTCATAGGAAGTATAACAGAGTTCCTTTGCTGATGGTATCAGTGTATTTCTGGTTGTATACTGTCCTATTGAGTTCCCATCTTTGGCTCTTATTAGCAACACCCTACAGTGCTTTGTTCTCCAACAGCCCCATTCAATGAACACCTTCCATGATTCCTGCTTTCACCTAACTCCTGAAGAGGAGGTCAATATATCCTTTCAGTAGTTGTGTATGATTTGATAATGGGTCTTCTCTTTCAAGATTGTCTTTTTAAATTCCTTGTTCGGCTTTATCTCTGCATTGTCTGACATATACATCCATGTGATGGTCTAACAACATTTGCTTTGCTTTCTGCTATCTATCTGGAGACCAACCACTCTGAAATTCGTGCAGTATTGCCTACAGTCACAGCTTGATGTTCATTGCTTTCAGTAATCCAGAGGAGAGCTTGCTTTATGGATTCAGTTTCTTCCTTGTGCTTTTTGTTGGAACCATGAATGCTCCACCAGCCTTATGCAAAATGTTGTTGCTCCACAAAATGATGAATGTCCAACCAGCTCTCTTACTACCTGTAGTGTTGGAACCATCTATGGCTATAATGACAGGTGGCTGTCCACCATGGTCTTTAAATAGGTGCTGATAGTTTTTTTTTTTATTTATACTCTGTATAGGCTGATTTACAAGTGGTGCCAGATGTTTATTCTACATGAGGTATTTGAGATCTGGTGGTGATAGATTATCCTTGTGGTGGCTTTATAGCACCTGTCCAAACATGAGTGTCTCTTCAAGCACCTTTTAGGCAATCCCCAGCTTGGTTGGTGAGTGTGGAATTGTGGAGCTGTAATGTCCCAATTGAAAATGGTGGTGACTTAACAATGAAATATTCAGTCTTGAAATTGCAGTCTTATCTAGCTGCCTAACATTCATACTGTGTTATCTTTTAAGTACACATTGTTGGCTCAGATGTGAGTAGGTGCCATCAGATGAGCTAGCTGGATGTCTTATAGCTTGCAATGGTTATTGTTTCACTGGAAGCTGTCATGATGTTCATAGTGGGTGTTCAACTGTAATGTTCAACTGCAATAATCATCCCAGTCTCTGGATCAGCATTTGGTATGAAGTAAAAGCTAGCCAGTCAATATTTCCTTCCTCAGATCCCCCCTAACATTATAGGAAATTAACATAATGTGAGAATTGCAGAGGCTGATGGACTTTTTATGAATGTGTCATTTACAAACGTGATTTCCCTTTTATACTCCTTCTCCTGCTGGACAGTTGAAGCCAACTGTGCAACGAATATTACTGTAGTTGAAATAATCAAGTTAAAATTAATGCAATAAAAAAGAAAAATAATTGAAATGTACTATGATCTGTGTTTAATACAACTTATCCACCATTAAGTACTCCCCATACACAGCAAAAGCTCTCATTTGAAGTTGTAATTTTGGAAAAAATTCTAGAATCACTTTAAATTTCATCTAACATCCATAAATAATAGCTATAAAGTATCACTAAAATTTTTTTGAGGATAGGGAGGCTGGCCAGTCTGTTGTCTATGTATACGTGGAGTTTTATTTTACCGTATACAAAGACTGTTCTCAGTTCATGCTCAAAATCTACTCATACAATCTGCAGGAACATTTGTAGTCTCTTTGATGGCTTCAATGCAGAAGTGGTAGTTCTGGAGATACCCACCTCATGATCCTCACACTGTCAATTTTGCACCTCTGAATATATGCAAGGGACTAATGGTTCATCTGGATGATGAACTTTTCATAGACCATGGCATTTCCTAATGTCATGTTTGCAAACACATGTAAGCTATTTCCTGTGAGAAGGGAACTGAGACAGACTGTGTAGTCACCTGTGTCTCAGTTCTGTCTTTTGGCAAATATTTCAAAGCTCTTTAGGAAAGTATCCATGTCGTCTTTCTGTTTATAGAATTTGGCAGCTTGGGTGGCCGGTCCTGACCCCATTGTCATTCTTGGGTCATCCATCTTTCTGTTAGGTGTGCTTGGTGATCTCAGTTTGTACCCATATTCTATCTATTTCCAGTCTCTTCTCTCTCTCTCCTTTTCTTCTTTTTTCTTTTTCAATTTGTGTTTCACACTCATGTTCTTCTTTCAGTCTTTCTGTTTCATCCCCTCTCTTCTCTCTCTAGGTCTTCTTGTTATTTAACAAACTCTGGAAGATTTCTATGTTTGAGCCCAAGTCACTCACCCTCAGTATGAAGGTAGTCATCATCAACCTGTTTTGGCATCAACATTCTTGGAAACTGGCAAACCAATTCCATGGGAGAGTTATTCAATGCTGGCCAGACTAGAAAGAACAGTGGACTGCCCCAATATATGTTGTAGAGGAAGTCATGGCTATATACAAATGGTGTTCCCTGATTTAATATGGATGAAGTCTTGTGCATAAGTGCCATATAATGTGGTTATAGAACATATGAAATAAGCTTTTTCTTCTCCAGAAAACATGTAGCATTAGTTATCTACCAAGGAGTGTTAAAGTCCCAGTGTTGTTCTACAGTTATAGACAATCCATGTCTAACTTGTCTATAACTGGAGTGTTCATTGGCACAGTGAGAAACGTTAACGTAATTGAGGTTAGCAGTACCACTATAGTTTTATTTGTCATGCTTGGTCCAACAGTTAGTACATACTTACCAACAATTCTAAGAAAGCTAGTTAAGAATTATACAATTTTGGATATGCAAGACTGTTAAGTTTAAGATTTATTATTTAGTTTTTATGGATTTGATATTTAATGATTATTCAGTTTTCATAACAAGAGTGTTAAAAATTAGTTATTTTAAAAGTAATAGTTATAACAAGTTTTGTTATATAATTCTGTAAGAGTTGTACTTTGTGTATTTAGTTTAATTGTTGTACTAGGCTTTTGTAATGTTGTTGATGTAATCTTACTCGAAGCTTCTAAAGTATTTTCATTATGTGTAACGTTGTTACTAGAGGACTAGATATTTCTGGATTTTTCTATCACATGTTATAAATATGTTCAGATACAGAATCCAAGCAAGAAACTTAGTGAAATTAAAAGTGAAGTTAGACTGCGTATCAGTTTAATTGAAATGGGCAATCTCTAAAGTGAGTTTGACAGCTTCTATTGTAATAACAGAGACATAGAATAATAATTTGTCTTGTCAAATGGTGTTCTAAAGTAACTGAACCAGCATGTGTGGACTTCTGACATAAAAGAGAACTATTTAAAGCTTTGGATACAAATGTGGTAACCTATGGGGTAATGTAAATGAATTTATCACTAATTGTATTGTAACAACAGAGTAGAGGAGAATAATTTGTTTTGTCAAAGGGTGTTCTGAAGTAATTAAACCTGCCTGTGTGGACTTTGACAAAAACAAGACAATTACTTAAAGCTCTGGATAACCAATAGTATACTGAAATTTTGTACATACGTTTGACCTGTTTTGAATATATAATTTTAAAACAAATGGATTGTGTGCTGTCCATTTATTGAAATTTATCACCAACAAGTCACAGACACCTACTGTAAAGAATCGTGGCCCTATAAAACCTGTTCTTCAATCTACACTCAACATAATGGTAGCAACTTGTTGGCTGAATATGCTGATGTATTTATGGGACCAGATGACCATTTGGGTCAAACAACAGTTACACAACATTATATAGATACAAGTGACACATGTCCAATTAAACAATTGTCACATGTAAATTACCTGCAACATCAGAGATGTAGCCATTGCTGAGGTATAGGGGTTGTTAAAATGGGGGATCATACAGCCTTTAGTGAAGGCTTGATCATATTCATTAATAACTGTTATGAAGAAAGAAAGTATACACAGCTTCTGCAATGATTCTTAGATAGGTGAATATAGTAACATATCTTGACACCTTTTCCACTACCAAGAAAATATATCTGGTATATATATATATTGGTAGAGGTCCAGTGGTTTAATAAGCTATACCTGGCATCTGGATACTAGCAAGTTGAGCTAGATGATCAGAGCAGATCACAGACTGCTTTCAGCATGAAAGATGGCTTGTGTGAATTTTGTGTAATGCAGTTAAGCATGTGTAGTGCATCTACTTTTGAGAGACTAATGGGCAGCAGACAGGCTGGTTGACCTATACGGGATGGAATAAGATGCTCTCACCTTCCATGAGTCTCCCAACCATGGGTGGAATTGTGCGATGGTAACATGACATCACTGGGCAGACATCTTCCTCGACAAAGTCAATGGCCAAGGCAGAAGGGCTCCTGTATGAGCTCATTGACTACATGTTTAGGACCAGGGCATGTCACACTGTATGGTGGATTTCAGCTGTGGTTAACCAACTGGCAGAGGAGATGGGTGCTACCAAGTTGAAACTGCCTAAGACACAACATATGATGACAACCAATATTCAACCCATACAGGATTGGTTGCAGCCTGGGTTACCAATGACCACACCTTCCACCTCACACCAGGACAGAGGTGATAAGTATGCTACTGGTGCTCCTACCACCAAGTTCCATGGAAGAAACAACATCATCATCAGTACATGGAATGTAAGGACATTGAGAGCCACAGTGAAATTGAAAGAACTTACACATGAGATGGACAGGTACCGTTGGAACCTCCTTGGACTCTGTGAGATGTGTTGCAAACACTTTGGGGAAACTTCAAGCAAGGAAGGACACAAGGTTTACTTCTGTGGCAAAGAGGACAAACATGAACATAGCATTGGATTCCTTGTACACAAAAACATCATAAACACTGTTATGGGTTACCACCCAGTCTTCAGGAGGCTCATCACCATCCATTCAACATTAAAGTAGTACAAGTGTATGCCCCAACATCTGACTACAATGACAATGTAGGATCTAATAGATTAATCACCCAAAAAAGACATTCTCGTTGTACAAGAAGACTGGAATACAAAAGTTGGTGAGGATGCACAGACAAACTGGCAAGGCATCTGTGGACAGTTCTGCAATACTGAATCAAATGAAAGAGGACTCAAGCTCCTGGAGTTTGCAACACCTAACAACCTTATGTTGGCTAATACTTTTGGTCCTCAAAAATCATCCAGAAGATGGACTTGGCTCAGTCTAGACGGACAACATCACAACCAAATTGACTACATCATGGTGAAAAAAGTGCTTTTGAACAGGAGTCAACATTGCCAGAACACGAGGTTTTCCAGGAGCAAACATCAGAAGTGATCATGACTTGTTGATGATGACTTTTCCTTTCCATCTGAAGAAAATCAGCAAACCAAAGTACACAAGAATCATGTTTGACCTTGAGAAATTGAAGGACCCTGATGTGGCACAAGTCTTTCAAGCAATGATTGGTGGAAAATTTGCACCTCTTACCATCCTGGATGATGAAAACAGAGACCTAGATGTGATGATCACCAACTTTAACATAACAGTGACTGACACAGCCAACAAGATCCTTGGCAAGCACTGTCGGACTAAAAAACCCTGGGTCACACCAGATATTTCGAACCTATGTGAGAAAAGAAGAGAACTGAAAAAGAGAAAAGGCAATCCTGAAGGCATGCAAAAATACAGAGAAGTCAATAACAAAATTAAAAAAGGCATGATGAAGGCAAAGGAGAACTGGGTAGAAGAACAGTGCAATGAAATTGAAGAAAACTTGAATAATAACAACAGTAAAAAAGCATACCAACTAGTAAAATACCTAAGAACCATAAAACAAGGGCGAACCACTACCATCCAATACAAAACAGAAAAATGCATCATAGAAAAACAAGAGATCCTCCATCAGTGGACAGAATACTGCTCTAAACTATACAACCACAAGACCAGTGGAGACCCAATGGTACTACACTGCCCTCAGACAACTGAAGAGGAACTCTATCCAATACTTCAGGAACAACTAGAAAATGCAGTGAGATCACTGAAAAAAGTGAAGTCAGCTGGAGTTGACAACATATCAGCAGGACTGGTTCAGGCTAGGGGAAAAGCCTTGATCACCACCCATACAAAAATTTGCAATAAAATCTGGCAGACAGGAGAATGGCCCACACATTGGACCCAGTGTATGGTCATCATGCTTCCAAAGAAAAGCAACCTATAGCTGTGACAAAACTACTGAACAATCAGCCTCATCAGTCACCCAAGTAAAGTCATGTTAAAGATCATATTAAATAGACTCAAGTCCTAAGTGGAAAAGATCAGTGCTGAAGAACAGACAGGGTTTTGAGTAGGTTGAAGCACAAAAGAACAGATCTTCAATCTCGGGATCTTTTGTGAGAAACAACTCCAACATGAACAAGATCTTTATTCTGTCTTCATAGACTTCAAGATGGCCTTTAATAGGGTATGGCATGCAACCTTACGTGCAACCATGAGGAAATACAACATCAGTGCCAATCTTGTTGAAATCATTGAAAACCTTTATAACAAGGCCATGAGTGCAGTCCTCATAAAAGGCAGCCTGGGGGACTGGTTTCAAACAAATGTTAGAGTTTGACAAGGATGCTTACTCTCACCCACCTTCTTTAATATGTTTCTAGAAAGGATTATAACTGATGCCTGTCAGTAGTGGAGGCAGGCCAATCACCAACTTTTGCTTTGCAGATGAAATTGATGGCTTAGCAGGATAAGTGCAAGAACTAGCCAGCATGATGGAATGCCTCAATAAAACATCTACAACTTACGGCATGGATATCAGTGCTGAGAAGGCTAAACTGATGATCAGCAACACCAATGGCATCAGCATTGAGATCAATGTATGTAGACGAAGACTTGAAACACTAAAAAGTTTCAAATACCTGGGATAGTTTGTCACAGGTGAGGATTTCAAACCAGAGATAGTTTCTAGGATTGCACAGGCAACAACAGTGCTGGCAAGGTTGAAACCAATATGGAATGACAACAACATCACTCCTAGTTCCAAAATTAGGCTGTTGCACTCCCTTGTCATATCCACATATCTGTATGCTTGAGAAACATGGACCCTCACAGCACATCTAGAAAGAAGAATACAGGCTATGGAAATGAGTTGATACAGACAGATAGAGAGAGCTGGTTGCAAAGTTATCAGTGGTGCCCCAATGACCCCAAGGGTTCAGGGACAAAATGAAATGAATGCACCTGCTTTTGAGAGACTAATGGAGATGCAATGGGGAAGAAGTACCTTATCAATGTCAATGATGCCTTGTTGTTTGTTTTAATGTTTGAGTATATGGCTGAAAACCTACAAATGATATTCCAAAAAGAAAAGTTTAAAATTAAAACCAGGAAAAATATATTTTCATGTGCATGAAAATAGAATTTCTCAGTCATATTGTTGGTGTAGAAAAAAATATCCATGGATCCTGCTAAAATAACAGTGGTCCATAGTATCACAGTTTATGGACAACTTTTCTGAGGTTGTTATGTAAGTAAGCATTCCATTCCCTGAAGCATATTCTACTTGAAGTCCTAGTATTTGCATGTCCAAGATAAGAATATTGGTTCTAGTTAGATTCTGTTGACAGTACAGTGGAATTTGAGCAATGTTATCACAATTGGGAGACAGTGTAGAACATGTAATCGTGTATGCTAGTTGTACACATATGGCTTCATTAAAAACTAAGAACACTACTTTTATGGTAGAAAGTTTACTAGTTGAGTGGACCATGCATTGCTGAAATGGTTAATGAATTTTTAAAATCTGAAAGGGATAATGGCATGCTGGACAACAGCATTGCAAGGGTATAATTTAGTGATTACATAGGCCCAGAATGTAAAATGCCACCCTGGACTCTGTTGGAGTTGAAACCATTTCTGCATAGTGATGATGAAATTCCATAGTGAATTGTGGCTACAATTAATGCTTTGGGAGTTCCAGGAAGAATAGATCTAATATGGATGTCCTTTCCATGCTGCAAAGATGCAACCAACACCTATTGATGGACATAGCAATGTAATCTTTAACACTTTTACGATAAGTTGTATGTGCAGGGTAGTGTATTTTACTGTTGTTGTCATCTATGAAGTTGTGATTCTTAGCTTTTGTTACAGCCAGTGGTCCCTTGAGCTTTCAGGCCCTAGTTTCTCCAGTTCTTGCATAATACAAAGACTGGAGGGTACCGAGGTATTACATGTACTTGTGCTAATGTTGAATGGAAGTTATTCTAGCCAGATTCAAGTTAATACATTCATAACTGTTTTTAGCACTGTACAGTGTGTGTCACCCAGAGAAAAAGCCAGCCTAAAGAGATTAAACTTCAGCAAAGAACTATTAATTTTTTTCAACTGAGAATAACCCTAGTTGTTGCTGGTCCACTTCCTGAGGTAGCATGAGGTTATTTGTATATTCGTTTGGGTAGAGGCTTATTCTTTGGTTCAAACATCAACAAAATTAGTGGCTAATATATTTTAGAAGCACTGGATAACTTGGTTCAGAGCATCTCAAGAGGTCCCACAAATCAAGGAACTATAACAACTGACTGTTTTATAATTTCTTTTCATGCATGTTGTGCTACTGTATTAAGAATAAAAAACAAAAACAATATATCTTGGCACAATGAAAGATAAAATCTTTATTAAATAATTTTCAGCTGAATAGTTTTGATAACAAAATTACTATCATGAGCCCTGATGAGGGTCACTGTATTACCAAAACTAGTCAGAAGAGGAAGTAGTCAAGTCAGATGAGGATGAAACCTCTCTTTTATCTTTCATTCCACTCTAACTTTAAAGATGATGACGAAAGTGTTGAGTGTACTTATGTGGCTGTTTAAGATGAGCCAGATGAGGAAGTGCTAGATCTAGAACTGAGACACAGCTCCAATGGACCTCAGAACCACTGACAAAGACCACCAAATAAATATGGCTGGGATTAAGTATGATCATCAAGACTTTGTGAGTCACTTGGTAGTGTTACATGCTTTCTGGGCTATCATTTGGTATCATGAGGTATAGTGTATGCAATACCATTTTATGATTATCTCTTGACCATAAAGAGCTTGGAAAGTCACTGAATATAAGATCACTGACTGAGAGGGAGTGCTGATCCTTACATTTCAAGCTATCAAATGATGTTCCCCATACACTGTATGGCTTATGAAAGGCTTAGCTAAAGAGTCATAGTTTAGCTGAATTCTGAAGGTGATTATTTATTTCTTGATGCCTGAGTGAAAAAACATGTTGAGTTTGATGAACCCTAGATGGCAGAAAGTTACTGTGAAAGGTTACTCCAGTTTTGGCTAGTTCTTCCTTGTGGCTTAGCAACAAACACTTCTTTATTTATACACTGTTGAGCATTTCATCTATATCGACATTTGAGGTTATCTTGAAATGACACTAACTCTGTTAGTGTAGACCATAATTAGCATAGTTAAAGGGAGTTTGTGTGGCAGACTTCTTTTAGATTCTGGATTACTTCCATCTTCCATCTTCTGGAATCAGAAAAATTCCCTTGAGCAATTTCTGATTTGAGTCAGAAACACAGTTATATACCCAATTTTTAGTATTTTTCCATCTGTTCAAAAAGTTTAGCAGATCTACTTTCAAAAGTAGTTCTTTTAACTCAATTGGTACAAGTGGGATCTTTCAGCAACAAGTAGACTATTTCATCAGACTGTAACCAAAACCACTTTGTTATTACTTATTACAGAACTTATTTCTGTCCCTTATCTAATATCTCAATATATACTACATCTCTCTGGTACCGGAGTCCATAGCTGTGAAATTTCTCGTCTCTAGGTCAAGACATGGAATGTGACCCGGGCTAACTCCTGTGATGGGCTTCAAAACTGAATTCTTCCTTATTTGGTATTGTGGTTCCTTAGTGTCCACGTTTTTTTTATAAAATTTTCGATCTGATTTTTTTCTCCATACTATATGTTATATTTGTTTAAAAAATTACTTCTCGAAAACCTTTAAACATGTATATACTTAGTATTTGTATTCCACAAATACTTCACTATAAACTTGGCTTGTTTTATAGGCCTACAAGTAACAGTTTTGGTTGCTCATCCTGAAACAAGGGACCTTTATGTTAATTTTGATCCACTGATCCTTCAAACGATACATGAAGCACAGCAGCTTTTAAAGATGGACTTAGATATACCAGACACAGTGATGTTGTTATGTCTTGCTGAGAAAAAACTGAAATCAGCTTATTGTCAAGCTAAGGTTAGTAATTAAATTATAATAATTTGAAATTTCCTTGAATACAAATGTTAAAAACTGTGTGTATTAACATAGATGAAAATGTTTTGATTATTTTAGAAAGTTACAGCAAACATGAATATTTTCTTATAAAGGTTAAAATAAGATATTTTTAATCAAAGAGTATTTTCTGAACTTTTTAATTTCTTTATAGATATATCAGATGCTAATGTCCATTACCAATCAGAGTTATATAATATCAAAATTACTGTAGAAAACTATTCAGGTTTTATTTAATTATTACATTGAATTAGTTCCACATACGTGATTGCCAAAATATTAAATAAAAAAGATAATGGATAAAATGAGATATTTGTTTTCAAGAAATTAATATTTTTGCTAAATTGGTTGATCAGCTGTGATTACTATTATTAATACAATAAATATCTATTAACTAAAAATCCAATTAGGAGTTGTTGTATAACTTTAACTGTTGATATGCACAGTTTATATTTAGTTGCAAAAGCAATCATTAATTTGCTCATTTAAATTTATTATTATTAACTTTTCTTCAGAGCAAGCTACCTATTTAAATTAAAACTAAAAATTAGCCATGTAAAGAGTAGAGCTAATTAAATATATTTATATAAGTGTGTGACTCGTTTATCCTTTTTCTCTAATAATGTCTTGAAATTGTGAGAGTCTGCTTTGCAGACCTTTGAATTAATTATATTGCCAGAATGAAATAGATTATCCATTATACATATTTCAATTGTAATTCATGATTGATGCCTTTCAATTGGTACATTTGATTAATTGTTTCAAATTTTTCCTTGTTGAAACTTCAAAAACATATAACTGCTATGTTTAAATAAGAATGTTCAGTTAATGCCTCATTTGTTTGTTCATTATTAACCATATACAACATGAGGTTTATGTGTAACCAAAGCAAAACTTATACCTTATCATTCAAGAATGCCATGTTCAAAGGTACAGTATTTATGTCTTAGAGGCATTTTACATTCTTCTGCATATGTCCAATGTTTTACATTGCAAATAAAGGGGTCATTTATTAAGTTCATAATAAAACCTTATATATTCATTTGAATATGAGTAAACCTATTCATATTACTGACTTCATGTTCAGTTTTACATACTTATCAAACCTAAAGCTACAGTTTACTATTTACTAGTGAGTTTTTAAGGTTATTAGTATAGAAAACGTGTGATTACCCCTTTTTTATAAATCTTGAACAATTAATGAATGTGTTTGATTAACAGAGGACTTTTGGAGAATAATTATAAATTATCTTCTCTGATCTTCTAGAGTTACCCACTATAAATTATTGCAGTATTCCCTAATGCTGCATTGTTGTTTGGTCTTTGTAAAACAATACTATGTATCTTATTTTTCTATAAGTATATGTATTTCACAGCCAGTATTTTTTAACCTTTATAAGTTATAATTAAGAACATTTTAATTCTAATTGAGGTAATGTGATAAATTCTGATTATTTATCTTTCCATTTAAGTACAGTTTGTTTCTTCATTTTCTTCTCAACACAATTGATGCCACTATTATGATCAACTAATATTATGTATTTATTTCATATAAAGTATTTTAGTTTATTCATATTTCAGCATGTGTTTTATGTATTTCATTTTTTTTTACCTATAAGCGATTGATATATATATATCTTTCCACATGTTAGATCAATAAACCTCTTGTTTTTGCAGAAATCAAGTGAGTTTGTGTTAAATTTATTCCTGAATTACCACAAATTACCTTGATAGAACAAGTTTTGGTGCTTTATCCAGGATCTAATAATTGTGGAAGTCATAGCTAATTTGTGTTTTCAATTCCTCTAGTGATATTTTCTCTCCTTGTGAAATATTTTCAAAGAGATGCCTCTGCATTCTGGAAAAGACTTACTAAAGAGGAGGAAAACCAAACAGAGCTGAGGGTGAGGACAGAGTAAGTAATCAACTTGGAGAAGCCCTTTGTTGAATTATGGGTGCTTTCCCACACTGCAACAGGTATTCCAAAGCTTTTAGATCTATCCACCCATCAAGATATTTGAATCATGACCCTGGGTCCATCAGATACTGCCTGGTTATATTGTTTGGCCCTGAACTAAACAACTTAGCTCAAAAGATGCAGGTGGAAAGCCATCGAAAAGACAAGGTCAACCATATCTTTGTTTAGAGAAATTTGGGAGTCTGTATAACTGGCCAAGGATGTTGCTGACTCTCTCGTGACAACTGCCTACATTAGAGACTTTAAGTCAGCAAACTCTCTGTCCGCAGGTGTAACCATAATTATGAAAAGCAAATGATTTGTTGGCACAGCCCACATTTGAGTTTTTTTTTTTATAAGCTAGGATCCGTCTCTGTAAGAGGAACATCACTGATGCTTTATGCCAGTCTGACCTCGTATTTAAATGGCCTTGTATAGAAGTAATGTTGCTATGTGATTCCAATTTTCTAGTGTGAAAGAATGGAGGTTCAACTTTTATCAAAATGTAAGAATTCCAGCTGAGAGGAGTCAATATCTGTGCAGAGATTGGCTACAAAATCACTTGTATGAAATGATGCATATTCTGATAGTTTGCCCTTGCTACAACTGACAAGAATTAGCAAAGTGAAATATATTATGCCTCCATCTTGCAAGGGTTTAGCCAAAGAATATAAAGTTTTTATCCCTAAAGAGTTTCTACTGTTAGTTGCATAGAATTCCTGAACTCAGGAATAAACAATGCAGTATTTGCTGCTTAGTTATAATGTTCCTGCACTATATGTTGTGGAATATCTGGAGTCTAATCAACTCTGTAGCTGGAAAGCTATTGTGTCAATAATTTGATCCAACAGAAAATCAAAACATCTATTGGGTATAATTTAAGGCTCACAAATGTGGTACCCATGAAAACTTGATTGTGTATGTAAATAGCCTATGATGTTTACACAGTAAAGTGTATCCCAGCATGATGGCAGTACATCAAAGGGCTGTCTTGGTCATTTAAGTTTGTGGAGGGACTCCATAGCAAATTCATACAACACCATTTGGCCATTAGAGATATTATGTCTCTAACCATAGCTGTCAAAAGGGTAAGAAAGTGTAACTTTGACCAAGATACCAAAGCAAAAACCTTCAACAGTAGCTCTACTATAACCAGGGTATGTGAGTTTGTTGACTCACCATTACAGAAAATCACAAGAGATGGTGTAACATCCACAGACACAGTATGGTAGCTCGGATTGGCCTGAATGGCTGTCAGCTAAATAGCAGAGGTATCATAAACCTACCAAGCCAGCTGTGCTAAAGATATAGATGGAAAGATATCTTGATCCATGAAACAACAGAGAAGATAGGCTATATTTGCAGTCAGGTTTGCTAATTTAAAACTAGTAAGCCCTGGTTCTAGTTTAGCAAAAATAACCCAATCCTAGCTCTTTTAGAAGCTGCCTGTGAACTATGGAGAAAGACTGGAGCTATCTTATTAGCAGATGAGATAGCAGGCACCAAATGGCAAAGACAGTGGACATGGGGCAGTAGAGAGCATCTCCATTCCAGGAGGTATACTGTTAAAATAACTGTGTATCACAGAAGAGCCTGGAGGTATATAGAGCTGAGGGGTGTACTTCTGACACATCTTGGTTATCTGCCTACTATTCACAATAGTGTTTGGGTCTATGAAGGTACTTGCAATTCTGTGCCTACAAATCGAGGGGAATTTTAGTTAGGTGATGACTATAAAGGTGTGAAGGAGAGGTTCTGGCCACAATTGCAGTTCTACATGAGTGAAGCAAGGCAAATTACTTTGCTGATATTCAAAGGTGCAAACTACTTAGAATCACTGGATTCTAGAATAGGCTGTGTATTTCCTGGTTTTGAGTTTAGAAGGGCTGTCCTAGACTTCATTGAGCATTTGAGCGAGGAGCAGCTGTAGGACTGCAGCACCATTTGGATGAGAGAGATCTTCTCATCCTAACTGAGATAGTTTCTATTTCAATGTGTTATGAATTGAACTTCTAATCAGTCTAAGGAAAAGAAGCATGTAGGAGCAGCTGCATTTACTTCATCTCAAACAGCACATCCTACCCAGACACCTATGTTATGTCAGTTTCAGACCAGTCTAAGGTTAACCAACCACCTAAACATTCCTGCATTGTGATGCAAACACACTGGTATCTAATGGTCGGGTAGAGCTATCCTGGTCTTCCCATGGGTTACATACTACAATCTATGACACTGATGCCTCCACCAGGATGTCATCCTAGAAGAGATGAGCAAAGAGATGTAAAATGTTGAGTCATTTCATTTTGAGTGAATGCTTATACCTTGCTGAGCAGCAATGTAGACAAGGCTATCAGTTTTGACATACTGGTGCAAGAGACCCAACAGAAAGCAGTGAATACTACTGGAAAAGCTTCATAAAACTACAGTATCCCAAATAAAGCCTGGCCACTAACTTGAGGAAGTGCAGTGAACAACTTACAAGAAAAAGTTTGGTTGTCTGCTGAGGGATCTTGATATATGCCTCTCAGAGTACACTGGCAAGAGATATTGTTCCTGGTTCATATGAAAGAAGCCAGAACACTGGTACATCAATATACTAGGCACTCCGAGCAAAACTACCACTTGGACCAGTAGATATGAACTTCTGGGAAATGGAGATAAACTAGACATAAATGGTGAGGTCATGCTCCAACTATATTTGGAGACATCAATTGCTGAATTAAAAGTGGTTGCCAGCAGCCTTAGTTCTGGTATCAGCATCTTTGGAGAGAACATACTGCAGCTGGTGAACTTAGGTTTTGTGAGTGAGTTCTCAGATGTCAGCCAAATTGAGTCCAAGAACAGTGAACTGCATAAGTGTGTTTATAAATTGCAGTACCCCCATGTGCACAGATGGTGTTCCATGATTTACTACGAATAAAGTCTAGTGTGTCAGTGCTATAAAACCTGGTTATAGAACCCATATACAAAATAACTTGTTTCCATTCTTGAAAGAAAGCAGCAATAG